AAGGGCAGTATGCAGGAACGTCTTGAAGTCCCAAGTATACTCTATATCTGCACATGGACCCTTCGGACTATAGTGGAAACTCTGTGTGAAGGTTGAAAAGAGCAACCCCAAACCCTAAACCCTAAACCCTAAACCCTACCCTAAACCCTAAACCCTAAACCCTAAACCCTAAACCCTAAACCCTAAACCCTAAACCCTAAACCCTAAACCCTAAACCCTAAACCCTAAACCCTAGACCCTAACCCTAAACCCTACACCCGAGCTCACAGCCTTTCGGAGGTCACCAGTCTCTGAGGCACGCACACCCCCAGCCGATGAGGCCCTCTTTTGCCGTGATTTCTCGTGGTTTGGGGGGTGCTGTCTGCGGCCTTGAGGAGTTGCTGGTGAAAGCAGCGGTTCACAAAGGTCTGGCCAGGCTCGTCAGGCCCTAAACTCTAAACCCTAATCGCTAAACCCTCAGATTTCGGCCCGCCTGAAGGCTGTTGACTGCGTAAGCTGTGGGGGATAGTTTATTCTTTCCCTTATGGGGAATAAGAGGGCTATTATGTGAAGGAAGGGTGTTAAGGGCCCTCCTAGTTGAAGACCCTAAACCCAGAACCTTTCAACCCTAAGCCTTGATTCTTAAACCTAAACCCGAAACCCTCCGGCTGAAGGGGTTCAGGGGTTTGAAGTTTACGGGGTTTAGGAGTTTAGTGTTTATGGTTTATGGGTACAGAGTTGCTACATGAACCTCAACCTCGGAAGAAGTATCTGAGGGAGACAAGCAGCTGTACTCGGAGGGTGCCAAGGAAGGCCTTTAGGGGTGCCCTGGCGGTGCAAGACTGGATACCGTACGCGTGAACCCTAAACCCTAAGCCCTAAACCCTAGACCCTAAACCCTAAACCCTAAACCCTAAACCCCCAAACCCAAACCCTCATCTTCGGCAGGCAGAGAGTAGACCGGAGATTGCAAAGGCCAAAGATGCCAGGCGGGCCCCTGATGCGTGACCGCTCGCGGAGATTTAGGGTTTAGGTTTTAGGGTTTAGAGTTTAGCGTTTAAGGGTTCGAGGGTTTGTGGTCTAAGGGTAGAAGGGTTCCGGGGTTTCGGTTCAAGGTGTTAAGGGCGTAAGGGTGTAAGAGTTTAGGTGTAGGGTTTAAGGGTTCAGGGTGTAAGGGTTTGAGGGTTTTGGGTTTAAGGCTTTCAGGCTTCGAGGTTTCAAGAGTCTGAGGGTTTAAGGTTTTAGGGTTTAAGATTTCATTTAAGGGTTTAAGGTGTGAGGGTTTTACGGGTGTAGGTTTGAGGGTTAAAGGGTTTGGGGTGTTAGGGTTTTGGGTTTTTGGGGTTTGCGGGTTTTAGGGTTTAGGGTTTTCACAGAGACCCGAAGATCGGGGAGTGGGGTTAAGGGCTTCGGGCTTCAGATTGGGATTGGGGATCGTTGTTTTTGTTTAGGGTTACTAGGACCCGGATTAGGCCCTATTTCCTTTTGTTAGGGTTGGGGTTCCCTTATAATTCCTTAAAACCAAAAAGGGCACCCTTTTTGTTCCTAGGTTACTCCTGGGTCTGGGTTAGTTATGCCCTGGAAACGCTAAACCTACCTTGCAGGCACTCTATATCGCTTTGCACAGACCCAGAACCCTAACATCCAGTAGTTTCCCCCTGTTTGTTTCTTGGCTGGTCCTACTCTAACCCATACAACACCTGTATACCTCGTTTAGAAGAAGGCTTGCAAAAGCTCTGGTACCTCTCTCCACCCAAAGCAAAGACACGCACACGCACGCACGCACGCACGCACGCACGCACGCACGCACGCACGCACGCACGCACGCACGCACGCACGCACGCACGCACGCACGCACGCACACACACACACACACACACACACACACACACACACACACACACACACACACACACACACACACACACACACACACACACACACACACACACACACACACACACACACACACACACACACACACACACACACACACACGCACATCCTAGTACCTGAACCCTAAACCCTAAACCCTAAACCCTAAACCCTAAACCCTAAACCCTAGCCCGAGTTGTCGTGCCTGCCAGTCCGGTCCACCTCCGAGCTCCAGATGCTCCCAAGAAGGCCCAGGCTCGGCGCTTTTGGAGTTTAGGGTTTAGAGTTTAGGGTTTAGGGTTCAAGGTTTAGGGTTTATATTCACAGTGCTTACATGCAGTCAAGCTCCGTTGTGCTTCTGTACGAAGAAGTGCCTGAATCATGGATTCGCAAGGCTTTCGGTCGTAGCCATGAGTGCTAGGCTCTTCTGAGAGTGTTGCTGAGTCTTTCCGGCCAGGACATATAGCCGGGATGCAACAGGAGGGTTTAGTGTTTAGCCCTTTTGGTGCCGGAAAACCCCTTGAGGTGTGATAAAGGGGGACATAAGGTGCCTCATTCCCGAAGTCCCTATAAGTTCAGAGGCAGTTTCGGTTCCTCATGAACTTTGGTAAGTGTATATTGGGTGGGGCGAGGGGGGGGGAAACGCCCTGCTCTAGACCTCATTGGGGTTCAGGGTTTATTTGGTCAGGATTTTTTTGGGCTTGAGCGGGGATTGAGTCTTTAGGCTAAAACCCTAAACCTAAACCCTAAGGGTTCTTTTTGTGGAGGGGCTTCGGATGTCAGGTCGGACTAGGGGGGCGTATGTCAGGATCCATGGGTGCTTTGAGGAGCGAAGACCCCATTACGGCGTATGGGGGTCTGTGGGTTGAGGGTTTAGGGTTTAGGTTTAGGGTTTATTCATCAGCTGTGGGGGTCTGCTGGCCACAAGGAGGGGCGCCCTTAACTATAGGCAAGGGACTTATAACCTGAGTTAGGATCCTTCTAGCCCAGTCTAGGGTCCTTATAACTCTACCTATAACCCAGTTTAGGGTCCGTATAACTCTACTTATAACTAGGGAGGGCCGTCCTTGCAGGTGGCCTGCCCGCCAGAGACTGCCGCAAGCTTCGTCTTGGCTCCTGAGGCCTTCGGCCCAAAAAGTTGCACCTAAGAACAAAAAAGCAATTCCTCCACGTCGGCTGTGCTTTTCTCGCGAAGCGATACCTAAACCCTCGCATGTCCACTGTCAGTCCCTTGAGTACTGCCAAACCCTAAACCCTAAACCCTAAACCCTAAACCCTAAACCCTAAACCCTAAACCCTAAACCCTAAACCCTAAACCCTGGATCCCAAACTCCACTTCTTCATCTTGAAGCATCCTGGAGCCTAAATCATCGTTTTAGGGTCTTTAGGGTCTTTAGGGGTTACCCCTAAAACCTCTAAAACCCCTAAAGCCCTAAACCCCTAGACTCCTAGGCCCCTAGACCCCTAGATCCTTAAACCCTAAACCCTAACCCCTAACCCCTAACCCCTTAAACCCCTAGACCCCTAAGCCTACGCCCTGCACCCCACGCAGCAGTGAGCTGCACATCGCGCACCTCGAAGCCACCCCAACCTGTTAAGGTTTAGGGTTTAGGGTTTTTAGGGTTTAGGGTTTTCGGGTTTTCGAGTTTAGGGTGTAGAGTTTAGGATTTAGGGTTTAGCAGGGATTAGTAGGGTCTACCACACATGCCCAAAGCACTGCAAACCCTGCTCCCTGTAAGAACGAAAGGCCCTAACACCTCTCAACCCTGCAAGCCTAGAAGCCCAAAACGCTATCATCAATCAAAAAAAGGATGGGTAGTTTGGGTACTTAAAAGTCCCTTAACTTTAGTTAGTATAGTAAGGGGGCCTTTCCTTGTAACCCTTCTATACACCAGACATAATAAGGGCCCATTACTTCGGATCCTTGTAAACAAGGGTCGGGTACCACACTAAGGGCGCTTGGTTCCCACCTTAGAACGCCCTGTAACCCAAACGCTGACTCCTTGTGGAGGAGCCTCGTGCGCCCTCCGTGGCCGGGCATAAGTGTTGAGAGGTTTGCAGATTGCAGCTTCGGGTAGTTTTTTGGAGTTACCGGGTTTCAGGGTGTAGGGTTCAGGGTTTACTGTAGGGTTTCAGGGTTTAGGGCTTAGGGTTTCAGGGCTCAAGGTTTCAAGGTTTTTTGAGTTTGGGGGGCTTTTGAGGCTGGACTATAGGGCTCTTAAGGCAGGAAGGGTATGTAAGCAAGGTACTCTCCAGTACTCCCAGGTTTCCTAGGCCATGGACCACCCTCCCTGACTGGCCCAGTACTCTTTTCCCTTTGTTTGGTTCAATGTCCCCTTATAAGGCAACCAAGCCCCCCAAAAGGGTACCCTTTTTTATCATATGGTTCCTGGGCTACCAGGCTTAAGGGAGGTACATGGACCCTCAGGGTTATGCTACCCAGCTTAAGGACCTTGTTTGCTGTTGAGGATGCTTGGAACGGATCAGGGCTCGAGACGGCCATGGAAGGTGAGTTGTTGGGCTTTTGGGCTCTTTTCGCGCGCAGGCAGAACTTAGGGTTTAGGGTTTAGGGTTTAGGGTTTAGGGTTTAGGGTTTTGGGTTTTGGGGTTTAGGGTTTAGGGTTTAGGGTTTAGGGTTTGCCGCGGAGCGATGCAAGGACTAGATTAAACTAAAAAGCCTAAGGAAACAAAAGGCGCACTTTTCATTCTCAGGATACCGAGGGCCATTGTTAGGGTGTCCTTCTTATGGTCTTATGTTATTCTAAGGGTTGTTACATGGTCCCTTAGTTTCAAGATGGTCCCTTACCTTCTTAAAGGGTTCTGAAGTATTATGGGCTCTTGGGTGCTATAGGGGAAAGAAGGGTTATTGATGGTCAAATTCAGGGACCAGGAACCAACTTAAGACTTGTAAGGGACACAGGGGACCTAAATTTGGCAGCCCTCATATGTCATCATTTCTCCCACCACAGCGCCTTTGGGAACGCAAAGGACCCTCTTGGCTTTTCAGAGTTTTTTGGCAGATGTATACTGTTACTTTGGGGGTCTTTTGGCTGAGGATCAAGGTTCCGACCACACACGAGATGTCGAGTAGACGAAGCATCTTTCCATCAAGGGCTGAAAGACTGCCTGAGGAAAGAAGTTTGTCCATGGAGGAGGACCAGGAGACGATGACGTGCCATTTCATGTCCGAACCGGTATGCTATGCTGCAGGATCTCAGCTATTGGTGTCCTCTCGGATACTTGCAGTTGTGTTGCCTTTGCCTCTCAGTGGCTTTGCCTTGCAGCCATTTTGGCTGAGGCTGCGACAGCTCTCATCGGTAGGGAGAGTGCTGTGGGAAAAGATGGACATGGGCGGCGGTGTCGCGGAGTACCATGTACATGTTGACGGCGTAACAGAGTGCCACGTGCACGTTGACGACGACACCTTCCTTTGCTGTCCGACTCTGGGCCAATCCGAAACCACAGATTGCTGTGGTTAGGGCTTCGCAAGGTTCATTCAAATATATTGGGGTTTAGGTTTAATTCTTTTTTAGGGTTCAGGGTGTCCTTCTAAACCCTGAACCCTAAACCCTCGACCCTCAACCCTAAGCCTCAGGGTGTAGGTATAATCCAACACACAGCAACTGTCAGGATTCCCGACGACACCAACTTGGCCGGCGTGGTCATGACGCATCGCCTTGAGAGGCTACGCTGGGATGGTTCCCCCCTTATTCTAACAGTCCTTAATAGGGATGTTTAGGGTTTAGGGCTTAGGGTTTAGGGTTTAGGGTTTAGGGTTTAGGGTTTAGGGGTACTGTAATCCCCATTGAGGGCTGCTAGTATCAGGGGAGCATCGCAAGGCTACACGAGCTCTCCCTGAAGAACTTTCATCTGGCTATTTGCTGCCTGATCTACATCGCCGTGCAGCTCGGGTGATCGTTTCAGAGCATTGGTTGACGCCCTCGGAGTTTTGGATGTAGTGGTTTTAGGGTTTAGGGTTTAGGGTTTAGGGCTTAGGGCTTAGGGTTTAGGGTTTAGGAGGCCCAAAGCCCTTCACTGCCCTGTCATCAGCCGGCGTTTCGGCGACGAAACACCCCCTACTCGTTTAAATCCCTCAACCCTAAACCCCAAACCCTGAACCCTTAACCCTGAACCCCAAACCCCAAACCCCAAACCCTAAACCCCAAACCCTAAACCCTAAACCCTTAACCCTACCCCCCCCCCCCCCCCCCCCCGGACCCTACCTTCAGGAACATGGCGTGCCTGGTCATGAACAGCATGGGAGAGGAGTGGCTTGGCGTTGGCAGCCGCGAGCTCACGTTCCACCTCGTGGAGTTCTGGGCCACCTTCGTCTTCTCCTGCGTCCAAGTCTACTCATTAGTCTCTGGGTAGGCCCTTGGGATATGTTTTGTTTATACTTTCCCTTCTTCTAGGACCAGGAGTAGGCCCAGGAGTAGGCCCTTATTCACTTTTTTCAGGGGTTGGGTTGGCTCAGAGGCCCCTTTACACCAAAATGGGCACCCTTCTGATTCCTAGGTTACTCGTGGGTCTTGTCTTGTGTCTAAGAGGATCATGTGTAGAAATGGACCCCAAAACCTAAACTTTCCACCTAAACCCTAAGCCCTAAACCCTAAACCCTAAACCCTAAACCCTAAACCCTAAATGGCTCTAAGAGGGCGTTATATACAGGGACCAGCTGAGGTCTACTCGCCACGGAGTGTGGGCGCCATCTACAGGAACCCCCTGGTCCTCAAGACGGTCACTTGGTAGCCCAGAGGGTTTAGGGTTTAGGGTTTAGGGTGTAGGGTTCAGGGTTTAGGGTTTAGGGTTTAGGGTTTAGGGCTACCAAGGTCATCTTCCTCAACGTGGCCTCCACATTCTTCTCGGCACTCCTCGTGTCTGTGAGTTTGGAGTCTTTCGAGGTACTCTCCCATGAGATCGAGTATAGTGACTGGGTAGGCCTTCGGGATATTCTTTATTTCCTTCTATTGGGATGCAGAGGATAGAGTTGAAGGGGAATTTTCAGAGGGTTGAAAAGGGCCGACGTATAGGTAACGAGATCACCATGGCCTTTGTGGACGTGGTCCTGCTCGGGGTCGTGGCAAGACAAGCTGGGTACAACATCGACAGGGCGGGCTTCACGCTACTCACCACCCTGCTCACGTTGGTTGTTGCAGTGGCGCAGCTGGGCATCTACAACATGCTGGATGGGCCAAATGGAGGACGTTGGGGGGTTTAGGGTTTAGGGTTTAGGGTTTAGGGTTTAGGGTTTAGGGTTTAGGGTTTAGGGTTTAGGGTTTAGGGTTGGGGGCTCTTGGCCTTCAAGGGATGTTGGCGAGTTCGTTCAATCTCGTCCGCATCGTGCAGGGTTTCAGACGTCATGGCTTCCAAGCATAAACCTTACCCTAAACCCTAAACCCTAAACCCTAAACCCTAAATCCTAAACCCTAAACCGCAGTGAGAACCGAACCGACCTGAGGTCCCTAAAAGCTGCTACTGCTGTAGATGATTCTTTGCCCTGCTATATATTGGGGGTTTTAGGGTTTAGGGTTTAGGGTTTAGGGTTTGGGGTTTCTGAAATTCGGGGTACCTTTTTGGGATGTTCCCCCTTACACGAACAGGGATTATCATCGGGGTACGATAATCCCCATTAAGGGCTGTCAGTATAAGGGAGAGCAGCCCAAGGTACACCGTTAGGGTTTTGAGTATATGGGAATCTTACTATTTGAGGGTCTATAATAGGGTTTAATAGGGGCCTTGTTTTCCGCAAACCCCCAATTCACCCGGAATGCTGTCACATGCTGCCACCACGGACAGTATGGAAACACAATCCTTTCAACTAGTAGTAGAGTAGGTAACCTTTAACCTTTTTGGGGTAATATAATCCCCTTCTAATCCCACAGATTCACCGTTAATTCCCCCAGGTTACTGGACAACTCGGCTCAAGCCCCCTAAACCCTAAACCCTAAACCCTAAACCCTAAGCCCTAAGCCCTAAGCCCTAAGCCCTTTCAGGACCTGGTGAGCAGATCGCCCACTACTTCGAGTTTGCCTTCGAGACGCTGAGTGCCCTGATCTCTTTCTCCTTCTGTATGGATGGGAAGCTCCTGTGCGACCGGGCCCTCCGACTCTCGGCAGCCCAGTGGTGCTCTTTTCACCTTTTTTTGTGGGGTTCAAGGCTCTCTTATAAAGTAACCAGCCCCCAAAAAAGGGTGCCCTTATTATATAATATGGTGACTGGGTAGCCCAAGGACTACTCCTGGACACCCAGCAGAGAGCCCGAGCCAGAGTGGGCGTGCTTGGCCCCGCGCACTGTCGCGCCACCCCTTGCAACGGGGCCCCCGCGGCTTGCTCACATCAACACTCACATCCGCATGGTCTTCAATTGCAAGGGGCCTGATGCTAGATCTGCTTTTCGTCCCATGCGTTTTAGGATTCGCGGAATGCGTCGGCGTGGCAGCCCACCTCACAAAGTTGCGCCAGTTTTCAGAGGGGTCTGCGCCTTTGCGCAGACGTGTTCACTAGGCAAGTGCAACAATCACGGCCTCGCGAAGTGGGTTTGTATTTCTGTTACTGGTGAGTGTACAAAGGGATTCTTATTGATATTGGTGAGTGTGTGTAGAAATGCATAAGGCGTCTTTGTGGGAATACCAGCAATCAAAACCCTAGCTCGCGTGCATGATCTTCAGAGGGGTGAGTTCCTTGGACACCAGCTCCATGCGCACAGTAAGCTTGTGTGCCAATGCATGTTTTGCGACCTGGTAGCGAAACAAGACTTGCTTGACCTTGGTGTTTAAATTCACCTCATACCCCAGCCATGGTAGCGCAATATAAGTTGGTCAGGGTGGCTTTGGGCGTAGGGCTTGGTGGTTGGCCATGTTTAATCCGCACAACCCCCCCCCCCCCCCCAGAAACAGCAGAACAAAGGCCTATAGCCCGATAGCTCTAATTCCTCTTGAGAACCCTCAAGCCCTACAAGCCCTAAACCCTAAAACCCATCACCCAAGATGGGCGTAATCTCGAAGCCCTGGAGTCCCCTATTAAGACCCGAGCCCCAACCCAGGTTTAGGGTTTGTTAGGGTTTGGGGTTTAGGGTTTAGGGTTTAGGGTTTAGGGTTTAGGGTTTAGGGTTTAGGGTTTAGGGTTTAAGGTTTAGGGTTTAGGGTTTAGGGTTTTAAAGGGCCTTGGGCTTACGGCTTCGGGCTTAGGGCTTGTATAGGCCTTGGGGGCTTTGGGCTTGGGGCCGGATCCTTGGGTTCCATGGACCCCCAAGCCTTGCCGCTCAGTGGGCGGATTCTGGGGTCTAGGCCTGTCCACCCTCAGACGCGGGTTTGGGGTTTAGGGTTTACGGCTTGCAGTTTCGGGCTTAGGGTTTAGGGTTTAGGGTTTTGGGTTTAGGGTTTAGGGTTCCCAGTAAGCCCTTCTAAGCCCCAAAACCCTCAGCTCTGAATGGGGGGGGGTTCCGAAATCAGGGGCACCTGGTTGGGGTCCTTATTCTAAGGGAATCTTACTATTTGGGGGACTATATTGGGGGTCTCCTATTTTCGTAAACCTCCAAATCCCCAACCTTCAAACCTCTACAAGAGGGGCCCCCCTTGACTATACTAACTATAGTTAAGGGACTTATAACCTGAGTTCGGATCCTGATAGCCCAATTTACTTCATAACTCTACTTATATCTAGGGTTTAGGGTTTAGGGTTTAGGGTTTAGGGTTTAGGGTTTGGGGCCCCCCTATTGTAGAGCAAGTTGATGGGGCTTCTTGCAAGGAGCCTTACGACCTGCCGATGCCAGAGGCCAGACACTGAGGGAGTTCGAAGGTTTGGGGATTAGGGTTTAGGGTTTGGGGTTTGGGGGTTAGGGTTTAGGGTTTAGGGTCTAGGGTCTAGGGTTTTGGGCTTCGGGGTGCTTGTGACGGGAAGACATAGAATATGCATGCAGCAATTCTTCTACCCACAATGGCATCGGGTTCAAGGCATGGGATGGATTTCAAAGCATTTGCAGTGCCTTGAGGGGGGATATGTAGGATGGTTTAGGTTTAGGTTTTCGGGTTTAGGTTTTCGGGTTTAGGGTTTAGGGTTTAGGGTTTATGGCCCTAAACCCTGAACCCTTACCAAACCCTCAGTATCTCTGGTACTTTGATAAGGGAAGACTGAATTTCACGAACATTGCGCACAGGTAAGGAATGACGAGTTAAAACTCTTCGAATGTGCGTCTTGAGGAAGTAGCTGGTCGTTTTCAACCCAAAGCCCGAACCCTGAACCCTAAACCCTAAACCCTAAACCCTGTACGTGCTGAAATGGTGAGGTCTGTCCTATGAACGCAGGTGGCCTCGAAGCCTAAAGCCCCCCCCCTGATCCGAATCCTCGTTCGATAGCGAACCCTGCATCCCTGAACCGTACAGCTTAGACCCTGAGTCAATCCTACCCTACTATTTGCTTAAGAACCCCCTTTCCCAAAACGTACTGTTCTTTCTTACTATAAGGGTAATACAGGGATCATTATGTTTTTGAGGGGGTTCTTAAGCAATCCTGGCCCAAGCCGCCTCAGCTCCAGAGACCCCCCAAGCCCCTCTTGAAGGACCTTCCACTTCTTGGACTTCAGGGAGTTAAGGCTTCATGGCCTCAGCGTTGTATTTCCAGCTTTTCATTATCCCTAAGCCCTAAACCCTAAACCCTAAACCCTAAACCCTAAACCCTAAACCCTAAACCCTAAACCTAAACCCTGACTCCTCCAAATCCCTCAAGGGGGCGTGAGCGGATTGGCTGTAGGCCCCCGAGGAGACGGACTCCGCCCACTGCGAGGCGCCCACCTTAGGGTTTAGGGTTCAGGGTTCAGGGTTCAGGGTTTAGGGTTTGGGGTTTGGGTTTGGGGTTTGGGGTTTGGGGTTTAGGGTTTGGGGTTCAGGGTTTAGGGTTTAGGGTTTCGGGATAGCCCTGCACACTCGGGTCAGGGTGGTGTTGGGGCTTCAGCCTCCCAAGCCCTAAGTTCCAGAACCCACTGTGTATTCCGAGTTGCGGGGTCCTAGCCTCTCAGCAGTCATCCTCTGGAGCTCCTGAGTTTAGGGTTTAGGGTTTGGGGTTTGGGGTTTAGGTTTGGGGTTTAGGGTTTAGGGTTTGGGGTTTAGGGTTTCGGGTGAGCTCCCGATGCTCCACCTCCACCCTCCACCCTTGATATGAGGCTCCAGGCCTTGGGGCCCTCTAAGGCACAGAGGGCCCAGCGATGTAACTCACTTATAGCAAGCAAAAGAAAAAACCTAAACCCTGAACCCTAAACCCTAAACCCTAAACCCTAAACCCTAAACCCTTGGTTAAAAACCTCAGAGCCAGCAAGCTCCTAAGATCTCCAAACCTTATCTGAAGCAGGGTTTTCATTACTGTTGTTGGTGAGTGCATTTAGGGTTCCTTGTTAATTTTTAGTCGGTGTATCTAGTGGGTGTCCCTAAACCCTAAGCCCTAAACCCTAAACCCTAAGCCCTAAACCCTAAACCCTAAGCCCTAAACCCTAAACCATCCTAAACCCTAAACCCTAAACCCTAAACCCCCGAAGCTTCGGGCTCAGGGATCAGTTCGTAAGTCCCGCAGGAGCCCACCCCACGTCGGACGAGAAGAATGTTCCAGGCCTTCTTCTGCGTTGCTTACAGGGTTTAGGGTTTAGGGTTTTACGGTTTAGGGTTTAGGGGAGTAGCTTGCCAGAGACTCCAATACCCCTTCACTGGGAATTCCTCCTTGAATCAGGACGGTTCCTTCTTCGGAGTCTTTGCGTCGAGGGTTGCTTTAAGATGCTCTGCGCTAGAGATTGTGAATCGGTGGGATTTCTTTGAGCTATAGGTCTGTGTAGGTGTGTGTGTGTGTGTGTGTGTGTGGCGGGGGGGGGGGGGGGAGGGCTGAATATTTCTGACGTTTATGGGGTTTAAGTTGGGATGCCCCCCTTTACGAACAGTCCTTAAAAGGGGTTGTACTAGGGGATACTATACCTATAAGGACTGTTAGTATAAGGGGGAACATCCCAAGGTTTAGGGTTTAGGGGCAAGTTTCTGTGATGCCAGGCGACTGAAGAGCTGCCAACCATTGGCGAGCTTCTGCGTGCCATGCATGAGGACGAGGCGAGGAAAAGCACCCGACCACATGCGGGTACCCCTAAATTCGGAAACCCCCCATGTGGGGGGGTGTCGTGCTGTCTTTCAGGGTTTAGGGTTTAGGGGCTCCGATTCTGGCCTTGTTGCCCTTAACCTCGCCACGG